TCCTGGACCTCCTGATGGCACCTGGTATTTCTGGCCACTGTGGGACACAGAGTGTTGGACTGGATGGGCCACTGGCCTGATCCAGCATTGGCTTCTCTTATGTTCTTAACTCTCAGTCTGGGGCAAGTGATGCTCTGTCTTCTTGGTGCTTGGGGGGGGGGTGTTCAACAGTGGGAGGGCTTCTAGTGTCCTGGCCCCACTGCTGGACCTCCTGAGGGCACTGGTATTTCTGGCCACTGTGTGACACAGAGTGTTGGACTGGATGGGCCCTTGGCCTGATCCAGCATTGGCTTCTCTTAGGTTCTTAAGTGCTTACTTCTTCTGATCCTTCAGAGCCGTGACTCACGAAAGCTCCTCCCCTGCCTCAAATGTTGTTAATCTTTCAGGTGTTCCTGGACTCTTGCTCTTTTCTGCTGCTACAGACAGACTCACATGGCCACCCATCTTGATCTTTAGTTTTACCCTCATTCAGGAGAAGTGGGAACTGAGGCACAACAGCTACGCCAATGTGAGGCCCCCGAGTGAGGTCATGATGGAAGCAAGATTTGAACCGGTAGTTTCATTGGTTGCCCACAGAGCCTTTGGCCAGAGTGCTACAGTATTGGAGGCTGTCAGCTACAGACAGGGGTCTTTTCGTAGAAAAAGAGCTAGGGGGACTCATTAGCATAACTCATTAGCATATGCCACACACCCTGACATCACCGGAAGTGTGTCCTCCCCACAGCCGGCGGTGACCTCCAGCGGGCACCAGCAGGGAGCTCCAGGCCCCGCCCTGCCGCACCTCACCCGGGGGGATGGCGTCCCCCCGCGTCCCCCCCAAATGACCCCTGGCTACAGATACGTTTGGTCCCTCTAGGGCTGCCAGTTCTGGGTTTGGAAATTCTGGGAGATTTGGTGGTTGGAGCTTGGAGAGGGTGGGGGTTGGGGAGGGGAGGGATTGCAGTGGGCTACTGAGCTGCGGTGGCTCAAGTGGTTAAGACGCTGAACTGCAGGCTGTGGAAGGTCAGTAGTTCAGCAGTTCGAGACCCGGATGTGCCGCATGACGGAGTGAGCTCCCGTCTCTAGTTCCAGCTCCTGCCAACCTAGCAGTTCGAAAGCAAGAAATTGCAAGTAGATAAATAGGGACCACTTCAGTGGGAAGGTAACAGCATTCCGTGCACCTTGGTGTTTAGTCATGCCGGCCACATGACCACGGAAATGTCTTCGGACAGCGCTGGCTCTTCGGCTTGGAAACGGAGATGAGCACCGCAACCCTAGAGTTGGATTCGACTGGCTTTCGAGCAAGGGAACCTTTACCTTTACCTTTTTAACTGAGCCATAGAACCCACCCTCCAAAGCAGCCATTTCCTCTAGGGGAACTGATCTCTGTCACCTCGAGATCCGCTGTAATTCTCGGAGCTCCCCAGGCCCCACCTAGAGGTTGGCTACCCAATACCCCTTGTCCTCTGGCCCCACTGGTGGACCTCCTGATGGCCCCTGGGTTTTGGCCACTGCGTGACACAGAGTGTTGGCCTGGATGGGCCACTGGCCTGATCCAACATGGCTTCTCTTATGTTCTTATGGCTGGGGCAGTGATGCTCTGTACTCTTGGTGCTTGGGGGGGCAACACCAGTGGGAGGGCTTCTGGAGTTCTGGCCCCACTGGTGAACCTCCTGATGGCACCTGGGTTTTACCCATAGTGTGACACAAATCCAACATGGCTTCTCTTATGTTCTTATGTCCCAGTTCTAGAGCAGGCCGGGTTTATTCCCATCTGTTACCTGGCATTCACACCAAGCTTACCAACCTCCAGGTGGAGCCTGGAGATCTCGAATGACAGACCACAGAGATCAGTTCACCTGAAGAAACTGGCTGCTTTGGCGGGTGGACTCTAACATTATACCCCGCTGAGGCTCCTCGCCTCCCCAAACCGCGCCCTCTTCAGGCTTCAAGCCCAAATATCCCGGAATTTCCCCAGCCTGGAGTTGGCATCGGCAATTCGCACTCACCTCCCGTGACGCTGAGCTGCGTCCCCGCCCCCGAGACTGCGGTGCTGAATAAATTTATCTCTGCCATGCACCAGTAGGTGGCGCTGTCCTCCGTGCGCGCCGCCTGGATCTGCAGCACGTAGGCGTTGGCCCCGGCGTCCCGGACGGGCACGAACCTCTCGCCGAACCCGCTGGTTCGTTGGATCTGACCGTCCGTGTGATGCTTCAGCACGTGGGCCGGCCGGTCACCGGGCCGCTGCCGGAACCAGAGGACGTGGAAGTCTTGGATCTGGCCGCGCTCCAGGCGGCAGGGCAGCACAGCGGTGGCGCCCTCGGCAAACAAGGCCCGCGGAGGCTGGACGGGCACGGGAGGCTGGACGGGCACGGGCTGGACTGCTCCGCCTCGGAGGAGACATCCCGATGGACGTGCTGAAATGGAGGGATTTTTTTATTTATTTAAAGAATCCCTTTTGCATACAACGAGATCGGAGTGCCAAGCCTTCGACTCTGAGTCGTTCTTGGTTCATTCATTCACTCCCCGAAGGAGTCTCAGAGCGGCTGACATCTCCTCCCCTGCCCCACAACAGACACCCTGTGAGGGAGGTGGGGCTGAGAGAGCCCTTTCGAGGACTGCCCTTGAGAGAACAGCTCTAAGAAAACTTGTGACTGACCCAAGGCCACACCAGCAGCTGCACATGGAGGAGTGGGGAATCAAACCTGGTCCTCCCAGATTACCGTCTATGGTCCTAACCACTACGCTAGACTGGCTCTCTATACTTAAAAAAAAAAAAATTCCTAACAAATCAGTTTTATGGTTTTACAAGCTGCCCTGAGTGTAGGCACAGAAAGATTTTTTTTTTTTAAAGAGAGAAATGATCATCCGAGAGAGAAATATCAAACTGTGGAATCAGGAAGCGCTGGAAGCTAGGGTTGCCAGGTTCCTCCTGGCCACCAGTGAGGGATGGAGGGGGAGTTGGGGGTGAGGCCTGGGGGGGACCTCAGTGGTAGGGTTGCCAGGTCTGGGTAGGAAAATTCCTGGGGACTTTGGGGGTGGGTCTGGGAGAGGGCGGGGTTTGGGGAGGGAGGGGCCTCATCATGGGACAATGCCACAGAGTCCACCCTCCAAAGCAGCCGTTTTCTCCAGGGGGACTGATCTCTGTCGGCCGGAGATTAGTTGTAAAAGCGGGCGATCTCCAGGCCCCACCTGGAGGCTGGCAAGCCTACTCAGTGGGGCACAGTACCACAGAGTCCACCCTCCAAAGCATCCGTTTTCTCCAGGGGAGCTGACCTCTGTAGTCTGGGAAAGACCCGTAATTCCGAAGGATCCCCAGGTCCCACCTGGAGACTGGCATCCCGAGGTCCAGATTCAGACCTTTACCCTATCTGTGTTCATTTACTCCAGGCTAGCCCAATCTCGTCATATCTATGAAACTAAGCTGGGTCGGCCCTGGTCGGTATTCGGAAGGGAGACCGCCAAGGAATTCCAGGGTCACGGCACAGAGGCAGGCAAGGGCAGACCACCTCTGGACATCTCTTGCCCTGAAAACCCTACTGGAATCACTGTAAATTAGCGATGGCTTATCAGCAAGACTCAACAACAGTCAGAAGAAAGCTCCACTTTTTTCTGACTGTTGGGGAGTCTTGCAGGAGTGCAGAAAAGGGCAACTAGAATGATAAAAGGGTTGGAACACTTTCCCTTTGAGGAAAGGTTAAAGCGCTTAGGGCTTGGAGAAACGACGACTGAGGGGTGACATGATCGAGGTTTATAAGATTATGCATGGGAAAGAGCAGGTAGAGAAAGAGGTACTTTTCTCCCTTTCTCACAATACAAGAACTCGTGGGCACTCCATGAAACTGCAGAGCGGTCGGGTTAGAACGGATAAAAGGAAGTACTTCTTCACCCAAAGAGTGATTAACACATGGAATTCACTGCCACAGGAAGTGGTGGCGGCTACAAGCATGGACGGCTTCAAGAGGGAATTAGATAAGCATATGGAGCAGAGGTCCATCAGTGGCTGTTAGCCACAAGGTATAGATAGGGGCTCTGGGGCAAGGGATGCTCTGTCTTCTTGGTGCTTGGGGGGGCAACAGTGGGAGGGCTTCTAATGTCCTGGCCCCACTGGTGGACCTCCTGATGGCACTGGTATTTCTGGCCACTGTGTGACCCAGAGTGTTGGACTGGATGGGCCTTTGGCCTGATCCAACATTGGCGTCTCTTATGTTCTTATGTTCTTGCTGATAAATCACAGCTAATTTACAGCGATTCCGATGCAATCCTATGCCCATTGGTTTTAGACGGGACTAACTCACCATAGGATTACGCCGTAAAGGCCCAAGGGAATGCAGAGGCTTTCAGTCTAAAGGACTGTTCAATAATTTATGTCAATGGGATCGTCTCTCCCTGGGAGAAGAAGAAGAGAAGAGATTGGATTTATACCCCGCCCTTCACTACCCAAAGGAGTCTCAGAGTGGCTTACAAACTCCTTCCCCTCCCCACAACAGACACCCCGTGAGGTAAAAGAAGAAGAGAAGAGATTGGATTTATACCCCGCCCTTCACTACCCAAAGGAGTCTCAGAGTGGCTTACAAACTCCTTCCCCTCCCCACAACAGACACCCCGTGAGGTAAAAGAAGAAGAGAAGAGATTGGATTTATACCCCGCCCTTCACTACCCAAAGGAGTCTCAGAGTGGCTCACAATCTCTTTCCCCTCCCCACAACAGACACCCTGTGAGGTAAAAGAAGAAGAAGAAGAGATTGGATTTATACCCCGCCCTTCACTACACAAAGGAGTTTCAGAGTGGTTTACAATCTCCTTCCCCTTCCCCTCCTCACAACAGACATCCCGTGAGGGGGGGGGGCTGAGAGAGCTCTTCGAGAACTGCCCTTGAGAGAACAGCTCTGGAAGAACTTGTAACTGACCCAAGGTCACACCAGCAGCATGTGCAGGACTGGGGAATCGAACCTGGCTCTCCTAGATTAGCATCCACGCTCCTAACCACTACACCAAACTGGCTCTTCCAAGGCCCCTGCTTCAGTAACAGGAAGCCATACTAGGGAAAAGAGTAGTAAATTTTATGGGCCTTTGCTCATTGGAACACCAAAGGGTGAATCCTTGATTTCTCATCTCCTCCATGTGGACTATTGGTATGCTCAGGTTATGATTTCCTATGAGGAAAGGTTAAAGCGCTTAGGGCTCTTTAGCTTGGAGAAACGACGACTGAGGGGAGACATGATTGAGGTTTATAAGATTATGCCTGGGATAGAGCAGGTTGAGAAAGAGGTACTTTTCTCCCTTTCTCACTATACAAGAACTCGTGGGCACTCCATGAAACTGCAGAGCGGTCGGGTTAGAACGGATAAAAGGAAGTACTTCTTC